ACTCCAAGTTTGGGTCTGGCAGATGACAAAAGCTGTGGGTGGCAAGGTATCTACTGTATATCAGTAGGCAAAGATGCACAAGGGTGAATCACACAATACAAAAAATGTACTCTGCTCACGTTTAGGCGATCTCTGAAAACCTATCTCTTCAGGGAAGCTATCCTATCCTACCCTCAGCTAATAATGGAATCTTCTATTCCTCCTACCAGTCCATCCCCCACAGTTATTACCTTTTGTACCACTAGCCCCTCCCACTTAGATTGTAAGCTCCAAGGAGCAGAGCCCTCCTAACTGTCTTGTATTGAACTGTATTGTTGCTGTATTGTCTCCCATTATATTGTAAAGTGCAGAGCAAACTGTTGGCGCTATAAAAAACCTTTATAATAATAATTGTGTCAGAAATAGTAAAATATTGCTCAGTGTTTGAGTTTCAGAGGTGGCATGATCCTTGGGGTGACAATGTAACCATATCACTAGGCAAAGAAGTACAAGCAGTATAAGCCATTTATTCCAAACATTGTGCCAGGGATATTAAAGAACTACACTGCATCTGAGCAGCACAAACCAAAAACACCATTTATTTCATTTTTAATAATCAAAGCAAACTCACCCATCCATCCATGTCTCCATGGTTTTTTTTTGTTGAGAAATCACTTTAAAAAACATCCCCTAGAATTTCTGTCAGTGGCCATCTTAAGGGCAGATGATCTGTGTAGCATTTACTTCCTGGAATCCATCTGCCCTTAGTTTAGGTGTGTGTGCAGGATGGTGTGTTGTTTAGCTGAGAAAACCCCTTCTCCCCTCCTGAGGACTCCTAGGATGTATGACATAATTTGCCTAGGCATGGAAACCAGGAAATAACTGAAGAAATGTAAAAAAGAAAAAACAAGTAAACACGATATATTTTCCTATCTATTTACTAATGCTAACATAGTATAAGGATTAAAAATAGTTAATGTTGATTGAGAGAGTGAAGTTCCCCTTTAAGATATTAGGATTAGCAGGAGCCTTGGGGTGGCAAAGTAATAAAAACGGTAGGTAGAGATGCACATGAAAAGTGATCCAACCACTTAAAAAATTTAGCTTTAGGTGAAGATGTAGCTGAACTTTTCCAAAAGTGAAAAAAAGAAGTACACAGACACATCACACAATAACTTTGTGACAATCTTACAAAGTGACAATTTATAAGTCAATAGATTACAGCAGCCCACACTGACGGTGTGTACTGCACCCTGGAGAACAGTCCCAGGCGTAGACAGGTAAGATGAAAAAAAGCTGCTTCTATCTTATCACTGTAGCCCAATGATGTACAGTATATTGCTAATGCTCTAGCCTCTAATCTATCCTTATCACACCTTCTCTACCAGCACCAATCACCCTACCCTGCCTGCTTCCACAGTAAAAAGTGAGAGACACTGGGAGAAAGCTCCCTTTTATACTAAAAGGAAATGAAAAATTTTCCAGCATCTCTGATTGGTTCTATGGAGGTCATATGGCTCTCGGAAGTCTTTTTTGAAACAGAACCACGAAAAAAAAAAACCCCACTCAAATTCAATCTTGTAGACTATGTCTTGTTTTTATAATATGAGTTATTTCTGCATGGGTTTCCTTCGGGTACTCCGGTTTCTTCCCACACTCCAAAGACATGCTGGTAGGTTAATTGGCTCCTGTCGAAATTGTCCCTAGTATGTGTATGTATGAATGTGAGTTAGGGACCTTAGATTGTACGCCCCTAGAGGGTTAGGGACTGATGTGAATGTACAATATATAAGTAAAGAGCTGCGTAAATTGACGGCGCTATATAAGTACCTGTAATAAATAAATAAATAAAATTTATGAAAATGTCTAGATGTTTGTATTGCCATTATTTTTTTAACAATAAAAATATTAATAATAAAAAAATGTGGACCAGTTTGTGCTCTTGAAATTTGACAACAGTGTGTTTCTGAAGGGCTTGCCCAGGGATCTTAGCAAATATGGATAAATAACCTCGTGTACCCAAAGCTTAAAATGGTTCTAAAAGCTGAAGGTTTTTAACCTTCATGCATTTCTATACATGAAGGTAACAAACCTTCAGTGTACAGCTCTTCCCTCAGCCTCACCCTAATACGTACCCGAGCTGGATCTTGATCCAGCGATGAGCACGAGAGCAGTGGCTCTCCTACCTCATCATTGCTTGAGACACAGCAGCGGGTGTGACGATCGCGGCGTGAGACCCCAGCCCTTCTCACCAAACTCATGACCGAAGGACTAGCCAATCTAAAACCACGCTGTCACGTGCTTAACAATGCCACGCCCAGCTGCACCCTGCACACAGATTTTCCAGCTAATGGACCACAATCTGTGTATCTGCACCCTGAGAGTGATTGTTACTGGGTCAGGTTTTTTTACGCAATTAACCCTTCACACTGCCACCACCTCCTTTTTGTACAGAGAAAGAGGAAACTCGGCAATATCAGCAATAACACTATGATGTTTGAATAATCATGTCACCACAGACAGATGTATGCAGACGTTTAAAACACACAGTAGCGTTCTTCAGAAACAGGGGTGCTTTAGTTTGCATTAAAGAGCTGTAGAAACAGTTCAACACTTTCAGAAAGTAAGATTTATTACTAAAAGGTCAAAAGGGTGCAATAAAAATATTAAAAAAGATGTAGCCAATATATATAAATATACAGAAAGCAATAGCACAGCAAAGAGATAACAGGAGTTTAGAGGATTAAAGTACTTGCCAAATGTCCTGGTTTAAGCAGATCAGGTTTCATGAGCCAAAAGGATGCCTTATCTCCCAACCTTAGTTCCGATGTTAAAAAAGGAGAATTCTTTCACTTCTTACAACTCAGCTTAGCTTTTTCTAGCAACTCCACAGGATGTCTCCCTGGAGCAGTAAACCAATCGCCTCATTTGGGGAGGGAGTTGTAGGTGGAGACCCAAGCTATAACCAAAAACTGCACAAATTATATTATGGGTCATAACTTACCCTGGATACATACAACATCCTATCTACGAGTAGATTATTACGCAGAATCTTTGGCTGAAAGGTTAGATATGAAATATCCGCTTGAATGGTTAAGGAGATGTAATTTTTGGCTCTCCTGTATATGCCAGCTAGGGGGTGTAATATACCAGGATAATGGTCTTAACTTGAGCCGTCCGAATATGGGCTCCATATTTAGGTAATTATGTCCTATTTGAAGATATGAACTCATATGAAAACGTGAGTTTTTAAATGTAAGTCTGTTTTTATGACCCCTTGGAATGTCTTTTGAACTCAGTGAAGGACTTTGTTAACTTCCGCAATCTGGGCTCGTAAAACCATAAACAGACATCTAGGCCCCAGCTCAGTTGTGGGATTTATAGCCATGACACCCTCCCATGGAGTTTGCTGCCTGTGATCTGCATTCAACAGACCACATGTCACTCAACAGAGAGGGTGGGGGGATGAGGAAAGCTGATTTGGGAGTAGAGATGATATAGCATGGAAGATTCTTAACAATCTCTGTGGTCTGTGTCCATCTCTGTGTGCATGATTGCTAAACCTCCCCCCTCAGGTGGTTGCATGGGAGGGAACTGCAATTTCCTTCCTGACGCAACCGTCTCCTGCCTGTCAGGGACCCCAGTGTTGGCCGTGATCGTGCACGAGTCTGCGCATGCGCTGTGTGCCCGGCAGCACTAGCGTGCGAGCATTGGGACCAGGGCACCCGTGATTGCAGCGGTGCTCGCACCAATCAGGGCGCTATATTTAAAACAGGTCAGGTCTGACTCTCATTGCCGTATGGTCTTACCTGTGTCCTGAGTTCCTGTATTGAAGATTGTCTTGTTGCCGACCCTGCCTGACCCTGATTTGCTGTCTGTCTCCTGTCCTGATTCCTGGCTTGTCTGACCATTCTCCTGCTTAACCCTGCACGTTCTGATCTCCTGGTATTGACCCCGGCTTATGACCTGTTTATCCTTCTGCCTACTGATTTTGTACTACACTGCCTCCACCATTACCGACCCGGCCTGCCCGACGCTGTTCTTGTTACCTGCTCACATCAGACTCTCACCTGCTATACACCTCCAGTGGTGGTGCTTCTACCGCAGCTGGGTGAACTCAGGGGCCGCAACCTGGTCTCGGCCTGCTCCAAGTCCATTCACACCATCAGGGGCCCTGGTGAACAAGCAGGTTAGGACTTAGATTCCACGCCTTGGGGGACTCCGGTCTGTGGAACACTAGAGGCTACCACCGGTAGGAACCTAACACTGCCACTGGTTTGCCTGACCAGGGCACAGAGCCACTGTGCTCAGAGATTCACCTTGGGGTGATATGGTACCACTGCACTGCGGGAGAAGCAGGTTCTTTCTGAGAAGGGTGCTGTTCTCCACAGCAACACTGTTGTGCCAACCAAGTGTGTTGTCAGGGGTGAGCAGCAGTCGGCTGTGACTACCCAGACATCGTGGCAACTGCCATGGTGCTTACCTGTTCACACAACACTTCTTTTCAGGGGTGTCATATGCAAACATATTGAGATGTACCGTATTTTTCGCTCTATAAGACGCACTTTTTTCCCCCAAAAAAAGGGGGGAAAATGTCAGTGCGTCTTTTGGAGTGAATATAAAGCAGCCGGTCCGGTATTTTCGCCGCCACCATGTCAGAATAATGGGCCGGCCACTCAGCTGTTCTCTGCTGCAGGACCTTACCTGTTCCTCGGTCCAGCGCTGTACAGTCTTCCCACACCGGCTTCTTCCCGCGCCGGCATCTGTGACAGCCGGGTGTACACTGTGCATGCACGAGAAGCGCTGCACTTTGTGAATGGCCCGGCGTCTTCTGGGACCTGTCATGTGTCCCAGAAGACGCCGGACCATTCATAAAGTGCAGCGCTTCTCACGCATGCGCAGTAGGCACCCGGCCGTCACAGCCGGGTGCCCACAGTAAAGGGAGGACAGCTCTGCGGAAGTGGGAGCGGGGGTACCTGTCAAATTCAGATACTCCCCCTCCCTCCCTAAAGGCCCGCGGTCTCTGGTCATCTCCTGTACTGTCTGCAGTCTCTTGGTCATCCCCTGTACTGTCTGCAGTCTCTGGTCATCCCCTGTACTGTCTGCAGTCTCTGGTCATTCCCTGTACTGTCTGCAGTCTCTGGTCAATCTCCTGTACTGTCTGCAGTCTCTTGATCATCTCCTGTACTGTCTGCAGTCTCTGGTCATCCCCTGTACTGTCAGCAGCCTCTGATCATCCCCTGTACTGTCCGCAGTCTCTGGTCATCCCCTGTACTGTGTCCGCAGTCTCTGGTCATCCCCTGTACTGTGTCCGCAGTCTCTGGTCATCCCCTGTACTGTGTCCGCAGTCTCTGGTCATCCCCTGTACTGTGTCCGCAGTCTCTGGTCATCCCCTGTACTGTGTCCGCAGTCTCTGGTCATCCCCTGTACTGTGTCCGCAGTCTCTGGTCATCCCCTGTACTGTGTCCGCAGTCTCTGGTCATCCCCTGTACTGTGTCCGCAGTCTCTGGTCATCCCCTGTACTGTGTCCGCAGTCTCTGGTCATCCCCTGTACTGTGTCCGCAGTCTCTGGTCATCCCCTGTACTGTGTCCGCAGTCTCTGGTCATCCCCTGTACTGTGTCCGCAGTCTCTGGTCATCCCCTGTACTGTGTCCGCAGTCTCTGGTCATCCCCTGTACTGTGTCCGCAGTCTCTGGTCATCCCCTGTACTGTGTCCGCAGTCTCTGGTCATCCCCTGTACTGTGTCTGCAGTCTCTGGTCATGTTCTGTCCTGTGTCCGCAGTCTCTGGTCAACTCCTGTACTGTGTCCGCTGTCTCTGGTCATCTCCTGTACTGTGTCCGCAGTCTCTGGTCCATCTCCTGTACTGTGTCCGCAGTCTCCGGTCATTTCCTGTACTGTGTCTGCAGTCCATTGGGTCAGAATATTTTTTTTCTTGTTTTTCTCCTCTAAAAACCTAGGCACGTCTTATGGTCAGGTGCGTCTTATGGAGCGAAAAATATGGTAGCTTCTTGTCGAGGTAGAGAATGAGATTTCCCTCTCCCATCTCCTTACTCCGGCCCAGGACTACATCTGTCACGAAGGTAGTGGTGCCTGTGTGTACCGGAACTGGACAGGCGAATTCTGGAACTCGCCTTCCAGATGTGTCTACAAGTACCTTTGTCCAAGATGAACAGTCCTCTTTACCTGCTAGCATCCAGGACACCATTTCCATCAGTTTACTGTCTGCTAGGTCAGTTACAGGTTCAGCTGAGCCATTATAGTTGCACCCAGGCGTCTTACCGTAGCTAGCTGCACCCAAGACTGACGTAACCTGCTTTTTGGCCTGGGGAGTAGGCCAGGCCCTAACTGCCTCAGCCTCCCCATTCCCAGACCTCTGGGGGTCTCTTCCTACCGGTGGTTCCCAGTGCTGAACCACTGCCATGCCCCTCTGACAGTTACCATTCTCGACTGTCAGACTGGTCATGGGCAGTGTATTCCTGACTAGTGACAGGGGCCCAAGTTGCTCTTCCCAGACCGGGCTGAACACTGCAAGGCCCCTAAAGTGGGCAACTGCACACAGTTCCACTCCACATTGTAGGTCATGCCTGACCCCTGGGGAGGTGGTTGGTGTGTTCTCAATCCCCACTAGCTTTCCCGTGAATTCAGGCAAGCCACATGGGGTGGTGAAGGCTGACTCATCCTGAGCCTCCTGGGTGAGAGATGGTGGCCCACACTTTTCTGACAGGAGAGATACTTGTATGTAAACAATGCAGATCTCTCCCCTGTCAGCTCCTGCACACTGCTTTGTATGACTCTGCATAGCAGAGCCATACACAGCAGTGTGCTTACAATGTAAAGCACACACACAGCACACAGTTAACCCTTTGATCTCCCCAGATGTTAACTCCTTCCTGCCCAGTGTCATTACTATAGTGTCACTGCTTTTTATTAGCACTGATCACTGTATTGGTGTCACGGGGGTGACAGTTAGTCAGTCCCCCCCCAGTGTCGGAAAGCCCGTCGCAGTCACGCTATAAGTTGCTGATCACTGCCATAGTAGTATAAAAAAAATTCCAGTATCTATACCGCCATTTGAGGCCACTATAACTTTCATGTAAACCAATTAATTTATATGTATTGGGATATTTTTTAGCAAAGACATGTAGCAGAATACATTTTGGCCTAAATTTATGATGAAATTTGATTAAAAAAAATTTTTTTTTTGGACTTTCAATAGCAAAAAGTCAAAAATATTTTTTTTTTTTTCAAAATTGGCAGGCTTTTTTTTTTTTATAGCACAAAAAATTAAAATTGCCGAGGTGATCATATCCCACCAAAAGAAAGCTTTATTTGTGTGTAAAAAGCACATAAATTTCATTTGGGTTCAGCGTTGCAATTGTCAGTTAAAGTATTGCAGCGCCGTATCGCAAAAAATGGCCTGGTCAGGAAGGGGGGGAAAATCCTCTGGAGGGCAAGTGGTTCACCTAGCACCATGTCTTTAGAGTGTGGGAAGAAACTGGAGTACCTGCGATATATATATATATATGTATATATATATGTATATATATATATATATATATATGTATATATATATATATATATATATATACTGTGTATATATATATACTGTATATATATAATGTTTAAGGTATAGGAAGGTTCATGCCAAAGATTACATATAATTGCTTTTTCTTTTTTCCGTAAAGGATACAGTATGATTTTGTAATATGCAAGATCACACTGATATTTTAACTTGAAGACTGCAACTGTAACATCATTGCTGTCTTTGCTTCAAACATCACTGGCAATGTTATAATTGATCCCATCACTTATCATTTTTTCCTGGACAGGCCCATCTGCTTGTAATTTTGGAGGAAAATATAAATACGTACCTGAAATATAAAAAGAATTCTTGTACCAAACACCATCATTGTGTAGTATAGTGTTCCTTTAAGGAAAATTATCCCTTAGAAGGCAGTGAAGATTGTGACAATACCTCCATTTCAAAGTAGTAATGGAGAACTCATACCCCCTAGGGGGATCACTGACAAATAAGTTATGACAAGTAATTTCTGACTTTGGCTGCACAAGATTCAGGAATAATAGTGAGGATGATTTATGAAAAAAGTGGATCTGTTGCCTGGAGCAACCAAACAGCTTGCATGTCAAATACTACATACAGGATAGAAGAAGCATAAAATACTTTTGCTTTGTCATTTTGCATAGTTTAGCTCCACAGGTTAATTTGCTATGTATTTCTGTGCTATGTGATAGCTCCATGGGGAAGGGGGTGTGTTAAAGGGAAAGAGGTGCTTAGTACATCACAGAGTAAAAAGGCTCAGGAATATTTTTTTTCCCCGGTGCTGCAGTTTGATAAACAGATCTATGTTGCGCTTGATGCTATTTTGATCATTTTCTGAACTCTTTTGTGTCCTCATGTTGTCTGACTCTTTTAATGTCAAACATATCAAATTGAAAATAACACATAAAAGATTTCAAGCAATTGCTGAAAGGCTGAATAAAAGAAAAACCATGTTGTGAAATATATATCTCTTTGATTAAAGACTGAGTACAAAGCAAGACAAAGCCATTTATTTCAGTGCTGTTCTACTCGCGAGCCAAGCATTGTAATACAATTACGCTGAAGACGCTCTCTCTGAAGGTCATACTCTTCAATCTTGGTTTGACTAAAGACAAAGGATGCAAGATACCTTAACTTGGTATAACATGATAGGGATGTTCTTTAGGAATAACAATTTGTAGTTGTACAGATATGGTTTCATACTGTACAATTTGTCATTAAAGCTGACATTTATTTCTTGTTCTTGTACAAGCTACTACTACACCCTGTAGAGTGAATCTGAATAGTAATTTACTATGAATAGTAAAGACTGCCATGTACAGATTGGTGGCCGTATGGCAGACAACTAACCATTACTGCCCAGGAGAGTGCTGGACTATCTCTATTTATTCCTTGCTTTATACTGCCATTTCTAGAAATGGAAGGTGAGCATTTTGTCTCCCTCTAGTGAATGGGAGATTATGGATTAGCAGGTGAACAGTGAAGGTTTTACCTGCTTGCCTGTGTACATGTGCTTGTTTTTTTTAATCTTCCTGTTCAGTAAACCTTTTTCTTTCTCCACTATTATTCTTGCAGAAAATTATTTCACTGTTGTATTTTATGCTATACCCAAGATAATGATTCTTTACAGTTTCCCTTCAATCTTCCTGAAGCAATGCTATATCAAAAAGTATGTTGAAATATGTGTTTAATACATTTAATGATAGTATTCAGAATATAAATTCCTTTTTTATATTACATGCTTTTATTTATGTATTTCTCAACATTTAAATGCAGACCAAGTGCAAACCTTGACATGCTGTAGTTCACTGCAGCTGTGGGGAGCAACTAATTACAAAGTATCTGTTTGTTTACACAGAACTGCTGAACCAAAACTGAAAGTAGAAAAAAAAAACAAGTTTAGCCCTTTACCTCATCTCCTTTACTATTTTTTATACGGAAATGTAAAAAGGAAAAACAATGTTTATATTGCTTGTATGAACATGTTTTTATTTTTTATTCATTTAATTTTTGTAGCAGTGCTAAAAAAATTGAGACATTTAAAGAAAAGTATATTGTTTTACTTATTTTTGCCTTTATACCAGGGGTCTCCAAACTTTCTAAACAAAGAACAAGTTTGCTGTCGTTCAGACTTAAGGGAGGGCTGGACTGTAGTCATTGGGAGTAGAAAAGGTCCCAACGTCAGTGTAAATATACAATGCCTCATTATTGCTATCAGTGGAAAGAATAATGCCCCATCATTGGTATCAGTGGGAGGAATAGTGCCCCATCATTGGTATCGGTGGGAGGAATTGTGCCTCACTGTTGCTGTCATTGGGATGAATTATGCCCCATTTTTTATTTCATTGGGAGGAATTGTGCACCATTATTAGTGTCATTGGGATAATTTGTGCCCCATTATTGGTGTTAATGTTTCCTATTGTTGTCATTGAGAGGAATTGTGCCCCATTGTTGATGTCACCGGAATTCAGCTCCTTTATTGGTATAAGTGGGGGAATTATGTCCCATTGTTGGTATCAGTGGAGAAAAATGATGCCCCAAGGGCTGGATAAAAGCAAGCAAAGAACCACAGTATGGAGACCACTGCTTTATAATATATAGAAAAATTAATAACTCTTGGATAACAATACCCACAAAACAATTGAAGTCAAATAAAAATAAAAAATATAAGTCTGATTTAATACAGATGTTGAGAATCTTCCCTGAACAAATGTTGTGAATATATAGAAAAAGGGTGTGTGTGTGTGTGTGGGGGGGGGGGGGGGGGGGGGGTAACCGGGACACTGCCAACTATGGACTATAGTGAGAATACCTAGGAAAAAGGGGGGTCAGAAATTATGTAATGAACTAAAATACTGGCCTCCATATACATAGAAAATATGCCGACTCACATGGGGATAGCCATGTGGTGTCCTCAGGACCCAAACATAACTAGGGGAAACAATGACAGAGGCACAAGATGCCTAAGTCAAG